CAGCATATCCTATTCCAACTTCCACAATTGAGAGACATGTCCCCATTTGAAGTCTTACCAAGTTAGCAAACAGCCATATATACCTAGCAATGCCAATGGTTCCCACATGGCTTGTTCCATAAATAACTTAATGGCATAGAAAACCTCAGAGAATAAGAGTTAGATTTTTTCCCATGACAAAGTGGTTACCCTATGAACTGGAGAAGCAAGTGGGGATTCGCGACTTGAACCCTGGATTGACGAGCTCTACAAGGCAGAGAGAGAGAGAGAGAGAGAGAGAGATTTTATCGTAACCGGATACCATGATGGTTCCTGGATGGTTTGTGTCGCCAAATAACATAACTGGCAAAGTCAACCTTGGTGGAGAAGAAGAAGAAGGTTCTTTTCCATGATAAAGCGGTTACCCAGTCAAAAAGAAGCTTGGCGATGCGAGCGGGAATCAGGAACTTAAACTTAACTGACTACCCATTCGAGGCACACACGGAGAGAGAGAGAGAGAGATTTCATCTATTAAAAAATTCTTCAAAGTTTGCTACTAGAATTATGAAAACAAAATAAAAAGGCAGTCAAATAGGCTATTGATGCCACAATTTGTGATCAAAGTTAGATGGCAACGGATGACAAAGAGATAGGCAAGGTGACAGGCATAGAGCCAGAGAAAGATTAAGATGAATGCAAGAGGGATTGAAAAGTTGTCGAAGAGAGCTTGTAACAGTATAGGGGCAACAACTATGCTGTTTCACAATGCAGCTACGGTCACCATTAGCAATGACCATTATGTGGTTGGCACAAGGCCATCTTTAAACCATAGATAAACTGAAAGTGATTGAGCCCTGTAACTGTATCTGAAGCTGCTGATCCTACTATAGTCAATACAAACCATCTCTAAAACCCTGAGTCTATAGAGGTCAAACACTCGGTAAGTTGACATCTCATATTTTTTAAGTTGCTTCGCCCAAGCCTCTACGATTCTACCAAAAGATTGTGGGCTGGCTATGCCCATCCAATCGGAAAGAACCATCATAACAATCAGCAAAGCCATCCAAATTTGCCATTTTGAACGAAACATGCCCAGTTTCATCCTTAAACCAAAGTCTGTCTTTGTTTTTCCCTTTCAAGTGCAGAAAAATGGTACAAACTCCACCCAATTTTTGCACGGCTATTACCCCCTTCATGTAAAGTTCCCATTCTTAACAAGTGAATTGACTTGGTTCGTGACATAGCATGTGTTTCAGCAACATAAAGCATCCTCAAACTTACGCTCAAACTAGTGGAGCGACTTCAGTATATATATATATATAAAATTGTGGGTTTAAAGGAGGGGTTTTTAACTGTATAATTACGGTTCAGAGGGGCTTCAACCTTATTAACGGGTGTAAAGGACCTGGAAAACTTGGGTGCTGACAAAAAAGTTTGTTAGGACCTCCTGATTGTGATCAAGACACATTAGACCCCAAGAAACACTGCTGTTTCAAGCAAAGGCCACTCAATTATCTTATTCAAGAAAGGAAATACCATAATATAGTCTTCCTTCTGGACAGATCAGGTACCCAAGGACAGAGGTTGACCCAAGATCTTAACAAGCACCATATATCGACTATTCGCTGTCCGATCCAAAGCAACCTCATTCACTAGGTGTCAAACCTCCTATCCATCAGTCAAACATGTGGTAGTCAGACAAGATCTATTGGCAATAATAGCTAGATCTATACACTTCTCAAGAGAACTCATGTTTTTCAACTTAGCCGTCACATTTCCTCCAAATATTGTTCTTTCTAAGATGTGCCATCGACACCAGAATGCCTCAATCTTCCAACTGCAACTCAGATTGAAATACCACAGGCGGCGTATTCTCTGCATCTTGTTAAAGCATCCTTTTGATTTCTTAGTCGTCAATAACAGATTTTTGATTATTTATTGATCTCCCTTTAAAACGTATTTGAGCCATTTCTTTTTTTTTGGTAAGGTATTTGAGCCATTTCTTTATCACCAAGAAAACGAAGAATTATATTCTCAATCTATTTCTAATGCATCCACTCTCGAAAGGCAGGCTCCTCAGTTATCGAATGTATTAGATGAACTCATCCACCTCCCTCTTAAATCCAACAAGAACATCATGGAATCTTATTGTACTAACCGCAATGCAAATTGCATGAGTGTCGTCCCCCAATAATACCTATATCTTGACTATATCAATGTCGACAGCCTCTGTAGAGGAATAACTACACAGTCAATCACAATGAACGGCTTCTGAAGGATTCTCCTAAATCTCCTACTATAGAGAGATATCCACTTCATGCATTCTCTGCGACTATAGATAATGCAGCTTTGCATCAACCTTCAAATTCTAGTCCCATCGCATCAAGACAGAAATGAGCAATGCACATACCAAAAGGAAACCATAAGACAAAAGAATCATCAAAATCCGTGCGAAGCAACAGGAGTAATCTAGAATGTTTCTCAGCTAGACTTAAAAACAGACACCAGAAGCCAATCTACTATGCCAAGTAGAAATCTCAGTCAACCACACATCATATATACTACTGAACATCCCAGCAAACAATGCCCAGATCAAGACCTCATTTCATGCCAGAGAAGACAAAACCCGAACACCCTTGCACTTAAGATTCATAATTCGAAGCGCAGCGTTTCTGCATGCATCGCCTCGCACAGCCCGACAGATCACGCGTCAAAGATGATACAAGCATCAAGGACACACCTTCTTGACCGATGCAGACCAGGAAAGCACAAGCCCGAGGAACACGATGAAGAAGAAGGGACCCCAGAGATCCCAATCCCTCAGGGCCTTCCCCGGGTCCTCGCGGTACGGGTTCGGGAACACCACCAGCTTCAGATTGCTCACGATCCTCGACATGTCCCGCTTCACCGTGTCCCAGACGGGCTCCGTGAGCGTGTTCGGGGACGGCCCGAACCCGGCGGTGGGCCCGACGCCCTGCCGTGGCGCCGCAGCGGGGGGCCGCCGCCGGCGATGGACGGCGGGACGGGGGCGGCGGCGGCGGCGGGGGGCACGAACTTGTGGGTGGGGGGAGCGGGGGTGGGGGAGGGGGAGGAGGAGACGGGGATCTGGGCGCGGGGGGGGCTGGTGGTGGGGGGGCGGGCGGGGAGGACGGAGGCGGGGGGGCCGGAGAGGACGGTGGCGTTGATGAGGTTCTCGATCTCGTCGATGTCGGACTGGGAGGAGGCGTGGAGGGGGACGGTGTCGCTGTGCGACTGCGACATCTTCTTCTTTCCTTTCCTTCCCTTTCCTTTTCCCTCTTCCTTTTCTCGGGATAATTCTCAGTCGGGTGGCGACGACGACGGAAGCTGCGGCGGCGGCGGCGGCGGAGGATCTAGAGAGAGAGAGAGAGAGAGTGGGTTGTTTCAGAGGGCGGCGAGGGAGATCTGGACAGGAGGACGAGGAAGAAGCAGGGACACGGAGGACATGGCGACTTTGCGGAGGAGGAAATGCGAGAGAGAGAGGAACCAAAAAAAAAAAACATAGACAAGGGGGATAGCGGTTTCGGGTTCGGGTTCGGGTTCGAGTCTGGATCCGGACGCGGAAGAAAGGCCGGGGCCTGAAAGCCCGGACAGGTCGGGATCGGGTCTTCGGGCCCGGATCGGCTCGGGCCGGGGTTTCGGGCCTGTCTTGAGCATTCGGGCTTGAAAAGGTGGATATATATATGTACAAGAATTGTAAATATTAGGGAATAAAGAGATGTGTTATTTATTTGTGTGAACACTCTGATGAAGTCATAAATGAGTTTAGAAAAGCGAAATCGCCCGAATCGAATGACCGAGAAGCGATGTACCGGCATTGGGTTGCGTTCGATAAAAGGTGGATAAAAACATTATCGAGGAAAAAAGAGCGATTTTTTTTTAGGCCGGTACCGTGGCGTCAAGCTTCGAACGAGGTTTCTAGATTGAACTTACGGGACTTGTTACTCTTTCTCTTGATCAAAAGTTAATGCCTCGTTGAAGTCGAGGCGGTCGAAATTAGTTTATTCGAATGCCATTTTGTGAATCCAAAAGTAGAGCAATACGTTAATCCGAAGCATCGTTCTACCCGGACCATGGCTTGAGCTCAAGTACTTATGTTGGTGGGAGTTGCGAGAGGGAGCCAGATCTCCATGTAACGGCGAGTGTTCCGAGATCGAGAGGACGTAACCCCTTACGAACATGCAGTATTTCATTTCCGGATTGATGAGAGAAATATTCAGTGGTATCAAAGTGCCGCCGTCGCGAAAAACTTTTGTCCTTAAGCTCTATTAGAGAAAAACTTTGTCCTTCCATTTTCGTTTCAGAAGAGCTACATTGAAAACAGTAGAGATGTGCTCTCACAACTAAGTGAGACCACGGTTGAGCAACCCCCCCGTTCACTGCGACCATTGCGAAGGTTGAGCACGGTTCACTGCCGATCCAATCTTCAACGGCCTCAATCCGTCGGTCCCCGCTCTATTTCCCGTTATCGGCAACTTGTTCTTGATTCCGGTTTTGTGGTTACTTGCTGTATAAGTGCGCGCGACGTTTCACTCATAATAGGTTCTCTCTCTTATGTGGACGCTTTTAGATTTTTTGGCCGCACCTTCTTCTAGCCAGTGATGATTGATGAGGCCATAAATCACTCTTAACTTACATTTGGGATAATTTGCGGCAAATTATCCCAAGTCGTTCGTTGGGAAGGTTGAGCACTCCAGTACGATTACTCAATCGCTCTCGTTCTTCAATTATATATAACAGGTTCTTTCTCTTTATAAGGATACTTTTCGATTTTTTGGGCAAAACTTTTACAGTTGGTGACGACTGATATGTGATTAGGTAAATGAGCGCAACATCAATCGCTCCGTAACACTTTGGTATCACGTAATATTTAGTAGTTTAGTCAGCGTTAGTGGGGGAATCTCCAACTACAGATAATGCACCAATCACGTTGACCCCACTCCGCTCTCCCTTCCCTAGTTCATCAAATCATTCAGGAAAAGCTTCTCTCTTCAATAATGAACATGGACAATTGGCCTGTGCTGAGTCGCCTCAAGAGGGCCGTGAAAAAGGCGAGACTCCTCTTGAGCTTCGATGTCCGCCGGTGGCGCCTCGCGCTGGTGATCGGCGCCGCATCGGGCAAGAGCTGGCAGCGGCGCCGCCTGAGCTTTGACGACTGGCCCGGGCTGATGGGCTGCATGGACGACGGCGGCCGAGCCGGGTCCGAGAGCTCGGGCTCTCGCCGGGAGATCTGGAGGACGATGAGCTACCCGTCGTCGCCGTCGGAGGAGGACGACATCGACAAGAGGGCGGACGTGTTCATCTCGAACTTCCATCGGCAGCTTCAGATGGAGAGGCAGATCTCTCTTGAGCTCAGATATTGCAGAGCAAATAGTTTTGGCTCCATGTCTTCTTGATGGTTTTTGGGCTGCGACATGGTAATGTTATCTATATTTTCGGATAAATTACGAAGTTTTTTCTTGTTTCCGGAATTTTGTTGATTATAGATTTTTTTTTTCATTTGGTGTTAATTGTAGAATTTGCTTATTCCTTAGAGGGTATTTCTTTGGAGTAATAGTCGAATTTTGTGAGAAAAGGATACCGCAAATACCTACATTGCTCACTTGAGTGCCTCCGCTAGTTTTTCCAATGATTCGTTATGTAACTTTTTTAACAACAATTAAGTCCGATGTGGAATTTTTCTTTTGCAAAAATTTAAGTCTGAAGTGGACAATCTTCGATAAGAATGTGCAGAAACGATGTCGTTTTGGTTCTTGTTGCCTCAAATTGATTTGAAGATGAAATCCTAACCCCATCGGATCGAGCTGCAAGTTCTCGTTGTCAAGGTGCAAGCCGTGCTCGGAGCTGCCGAACAGGAGCTCATAGAGGCGAGAATTCCGGACCTCGACGGCATCATATGGTACTTTGTTTTGGTATGACCATCCGTGCTCATCGCACCAAGAGAATCCACGGTATGAAGCGTGTGAAAAGATGTAGACGTTGGTCATAATTGTGTTATTGGTCATCGGTCGGAGGTTGCGGACAAATAATAGAGGCAAATTGAAGAAGCTAACTTTGCCCCAGTTCTTCAACTTGGGGTTAGGGTTTGAAGAACACAGCTCATTTAGCCCTGGGTCGTTAATTTGGGACAAACAAATGGGCCAAAGGAGTCGTTTGCGCACTACTTTGCTGACTCCATTGCGCCAGTTAGCCAAGCCGGACAGTTTATTTACATTAATGCCACATTGGGTTTGACATGGCGGGCTAGTCATCACCGGCGGTCCTACGTGGCATACAGTCATGTTAGCAATTTCCGGTGAAAATTGGCCGGAAAGACTACATTGGAATTAGGACTGGATTTGCAAAATTGAAAAGTTTAGGATTCAATTGGCATCCGTACAACAGGTTTAGCACTGATTGGATAATTTTTCCATTTTAAGAAGCGGCCGAGTGTGGTTGATTTAAAGTATCAAAGAAATATGTCTAATTGGACCATCAATATATCTTTAAGAACCAAATATCTCTTACTTAACTACTTGAGCACTATTTCGAGCTTACAGAATTGCCAAAAAAATTCTCACCATTTAATCTCTAATATCACTTAATCCCAATTAAATTGCTCCACTTATAAACCGGTAACAATATATTAAAAATAGTGATTATATATATATAGAAAGAATAATGATCATACATATGTATGTATAAACTTAAGCCTTTGCCTTGGCTATTCCTTAGCTAATTTTTTGGGCTCTTTTTTATTTTTGACTAGTAGACATGAGGCCTTCTACAGATGGGTTGAGATTGGTTCTAATTAATATAACTTGTGGTTTAGGCCCACAAACATTGCTAGTGTTTTCCAAATGTCGATTCTAATTTGCAATTTCTTGATTCAACAATACAAAATGTTAAGAGTAATTAAATATTAAACCACGGCTTCATTTAACTGCTTAAACTTTTAGAATAGTTAGTTGTGGTTCCACCAAAATCTCATATGGTATTAGAGCTGGAAGTTTCGAGTTCTAATATTTCTAGGCTTCATTTGTCTCCCCAATTAAATATGTTCATGCTTAATACTAGGCAAAAAGATTGGATTAAGTGTAAGGTGCCTTCATCTAATAACTTAAGCTTTTATAATAGTTGGTTGTGGTCTCATAAAATATCACATCGATAAGTACATGAAGCTATGTAAATATCTTGTAATCCATTCTAATTTGCTCTCAAGAAGTATGGATTTACTCGGAAGCTTCAGCCTAAGCAAATTTGAGATTACGAACTAGGCTTATGACCATATTGAACCATATATTTGTTTATTAATATCGTTCCTTCCGCTAAAAGACCTAATGGACACAATGACTTGGCGGTTAAGTGTCACGCTAGCACCTATGTGGTAGCCACATGGCAGTTACGTGGCTTTAGAAAAAACTTAAAATAATGCAAATCATTAAGAAAGAGATGGAGGGGGAACGGCCGGTCGGCCATGGTGGCGCCCCCTAGCCACCGGCCGGTTTCCGGTCACGAGGGTCGCCAGGGAGAGAGAGAAGGGGGTTTGGGAACCAACCCATGTTAAGTTGCTTTTCAGTATTATCCCCTATGGAGTCTTACAAATCAAGTGAGCAGACCAAGTTGGGGCACAGCAGAACCACCCTCAAGTGTGGATTGAACGAGCAGCAAGTTATACGTGAGTTCAAGTCTCACAAAATTTGCAACTTTGATGCGCTTGAGTCCTTTCATTAACTTTACAAACGAAAAATATCATATTGCTTTTTAATCCTATATGGCCATTAAAGACACAAAAAAAGTTCTTACCTGGCACCACATAAAAAATACATAATATATTAAAAAAAAGTTCAGTGAATTGAAGAAAGGAATTGAAAATCCGAAGAAAAAATCGAATCTTTAAATAAAACAACAAAGCGCGAAAGAAAAGCAGCGTCGTTGCCACCTCTTTGAAGGCAAGTGGGTCGGCGACCTTGCCGGGGTCGCGGTGAGGGCTAAGAGCCCCCGCCACACGGAAGCAAGGGCAATCACCGTCACTCATGTTGGGGTAGCGCCATGGTCGCCACCATCTCTTCAGCCATCTCTCCGTCCTTTTCTTTCCCTTCTATTTTCGGTTTTTATTTTCAAATTTTCTGATATGGCGTCCAAAAATGACGTCTTTTTACGTCCATGGACCGGTAAAATGATTCAAAAAAAAGTCACGTAAGCTTAAAAAATAATTAAAACGAAAGGCACGAGACATGTTCCGTCCATATAAAGTTGACAAAGTTAACGAAATGATTCAAGCGCATCGAATTTCCCAAGTTTTAGGATTTAAATACAAGAAATGAAAATTTGGTACTTAACTGTCCCTGTACATATTCATTTGGCTTACCTTTTCTTCTCACTCACTCCACTGAAACTTTCCTCTTCAGCATCACTTCTTTTCTTTCATTTAGGTTGGATTAGGTTGGCCAAAGATTTCCCACATTGCAAGAAATTACCCCACCATGGTTCGCCATTCATCGTCTCAGCCAATTTCTTGTCCCTTTGTCTTTTTCTTTTGACGCCTCTCTTTCATGGCCTCACGTTAAGTGAGTCTCTACCTCTTTTCTTTTCGTTTCCTTGTCAGTTTAACCATCAGATCGGCCCCTTGGGGAACAAAACCAAAGCAACTAGTCACATCTCTTTTGGTTGAACGAGGGTATCTTGTTGTTTTCACTGGAGTTGACTGCGACAAGCACTTTCTTTATCTGGGATCAATCATGTGTCCTTGGCTTGTTTATGTTAAGATAATGTACATTTCTCCTTAGCTTTTGTTATATTAAAATATTATACCATACCTTCATTTAATAATTCAAAATTTTAAAACAGCAGCGGTCCCACAAAATCTCGCATTAAGTTTTTAGAATAGTTGGCAATACTCCCACAAAATCTCACGTTGTATCAGAGCAGGAGTTCTTGAGTTCAAATCTTTCTAGACTCCATTCGTCTCCCTAATTAAATATGTCCACCTTAATACTGAGTAAAAAGACCAGACTAAGTGTGAGGGGGAGTGATAGAATATTAAAATATTAAATTACGCCTTCATCTAATAACTCAAGCTTTTAGAATAGTTGACAATGATCCCACAAAATTTTACAGTTGCTTACTCTAGCTTTTCATCTTGTACTCCACAGTGAGCATTCTTGTTCGTTGAGAAGATATGACATGTCGAATAATTCGACTAGAGGGCATAATACTAATTGGATAGTCTGAATAAAGAGCTTCCTATAAGTTACATAATTTGCCCAAAACTGAAGGGGGTTGATCATGAGATCGATATCGCATCCCTAAACTTCTACCAAGCTTACGATGTTTCCCGATCAAAAGGTGTTTCTCCCAAAATTCACCAAATAAATGCCAACCTTCTCGAGAAAGACTCCTCGGTAAGAACTAAGCTCGAAATGGGCAAATACGTGAAACACGTAGTCTTGTATTATTGATCAGACAATTTGCAGCTTAAAAAGGAATATGACCCAAGCTCATGGGTGAGTTAGAGCTAAAAAACGGCCGGCATAAGCTCAAATCAAACTCACAAGAATGAGAATTTGGCAAAATAAAAAAAGTTGGAACAAAAACTTGGATAAACTAAGTTTGATGTATCACAAAGCTAATGTATCTCTCTCAAAATTGCCAATACCTATTCTGGCCAATTCTAGGGGGAAAATTACCAAAAAAAGTGCATAAACCTATTGTATTTATGCCAATTTAGGCATAAACCTTTTCAATTGTGCTAGCCTCGAATCTTTTGACAGCTTGCCAATGTAGTCCATCCGGCCAATTTTTACTGGAAATCGCTTACATGGATGCCATCCGTCCTACGTGGCATGACTGACACTGATTTGGACTATTTTTACAATTTTTTTTAAAATTTTGTTGTTATTTTTTGTTTTTCTCTTTTCTTTCCTTTTCTTTTTATCTGCCCCTTGCTAGCCATGGGTGAGGGCGTCGGGCCCTCACACAGATCTAGCAAAGGGCTATGACCCTCGCTTGTTGGTCAGCAAGTGTCACACCCCAAAACCTACCAAGATGAGGGGTGACACGGCCGTCCTTCCACCCGAAGGACGCAGCCTCAAACCACAAGGAATCCGACTCCCAAAAAGCCCCAACGACATCGCTCTCGATCTATTGGCTACTAACCAAGGAACCTGAAAAGATTGGGGAAAAAGAGGGGTGAGCAACCACAGCTCAGTAAGCAGTGCGTATCTCTTCTAAGCAGATCGAGCAACCACTATGCATGTATACATAAAGCCATACCAGAAACTCGTACTTTAGTCCAAAGATATAATATATATATATATATATCAATCAAATACGAGTTGTTTTATTTCATCAAAACTTTATACAAGTCCCAAATACACGTTTAAATCCATCATCACAATTCAAACTATCAATGGTC